GAGAGAAGTGTCAGCAAGGAAGCTTTTGGACTTTGTAAAAAGGACAAATCTACTTGCTGAATAGGACTAGTAGTGGGACGCATAATAGGCCTAATTAGGCCGCAGTGCTATGGGACTTTTAAAGGACCAACCACTAGATGAAGAAGAAGAAGATCTTCATAACGAAGGAAGTTAGAACAAAAGTTTACCGGACTTTTATTCTTATTTTTATTCCCAAAATATGCTCACGTGTTTGTGACATATCAAACTGAAACACCCTGTATATTCATATAAGATGGCTTTTGCTACATATTTTTAAATAGTTTTTCCTGTCAGACCAGTTAAGGCAAACGCCACTGTTTTGTATTGTTCTGTCGATGCAAAATGAATTAATTTCCTGATAGGGAATCCGTGATGTGTAGAAATTGTGTGTCATATGATGTGTATTTAGGCCTTTCAACCTGTGAGTTAGGCATTTGTTTGGGCATAACGTAATTTCGTTTGCTCCTTGAATAAAATCACAGAATGTATTCACTATTTTATTTCAAATCAACATTCGCGATAAATCTGTTAGGTTAAGCTCCTATGACCTCAACGGCTGGCATTGGATGAGGGAAGATTACGAATTCGGGTTCTACTACATCAACAGTTGGCATCGGGTGGGGCATGATTACGAACTCGGGCTCTTGCTCAACTTCTGGCATTGGGTGGGCTTCAATTTCTGGGGCGATTACAGTAAGTTGGTCGATCAAATCGGTCATATAAGCAAAGCAGATTTCGCACGGGTTAGACACGATGGCTTCTGGGACAGGCAATGGCATGGCTTCGATTTCGGGTTCAATGAAAGCTGGAAGAGTCTGAATCAGCGAGGGCTGTCCGTCAATGATAAGGGGCAAAGTGCTGATGCTTGGTAATTCTCTGGTATCTACAACGGCACATTGTATACCTGCAATTTGAAAAAAAAATGATACATAGAAATTAGATGGTAGGATTATTTTGGGATTATATTTTGCAGAGAATTGAAACATGTACGTTTACAAAGCACCCTTTGTAAAAGTGGACAAAAACAATAAATTAAACCACATCATGTGACATATCGTTCTAATCGGAAAAATGGGAAATTAAAAATGCAAACATCCAATATGCACCTATAAGAAAAAAAAGTTGAATGTTGTCTTTCTATTCTGATGGGCTCCACGGCTAATAAAAAAAAACTACATATTTAAATTATCTCCAACAAATGTCTTCCATTATAAAAATATAATCTACATATAATCAAAGTTTATAGTTTTTCGTCGATAACTACAAAACAGAAAAAGTTAAGTTAATTCGGCATTTCATTTGTCATCAGATTGCGCGATTTTATCCCATTTTAGCCATCCTTATATCTCTTAAGATAGCTGTAAATGTTCGTCATTTTAGTCCACGTTTTAATCCACGGAATGCAAAAAATGAATCCACAGTGAATTAAAAGTGACACCTTGCTCCCTGATATTAGGGACTAGACAGTACTTTTAAATCACGGAACGCAAAAACATTTAAATCTTACCTTGAGCTAACGCAAGCGCGAAGATCACTACAGCTAAAACCATCTTGAGATATTTCTGTCTAACCGGCTGAAAATCTTAGCGGATTCTGCACTATATATAGGTACCACATTTGTCTCATATCTTGTATTAAATCTTTAGTTTTATTACCCGAATTCATAGTAGGACCATAAAATGACAATCCCAGATTAAAAAAATACAAATTTCATTTTGACTCTGATAACAATAGTTATTAACTTATTCACTTATTAATGTATGAATGAAAGATCCAAGAATGAATCTTTATTTTCTTAATTGTATTTATTTTATTAAACAATACTGTAATTTACCATTATTATACAGGATGTTTCTTAAGTAGAGGTCAATCATCAAGGGGCGTATTCTGTGGCCTAAATAAGGGTTTTTTGTTATATAAATGTGGGGTCTTAGGACAGCCATTGTCCAACTAGAGCGTGTCAAAAATTTAAAAAAAAATCAATTTCTAATTTTTAATGTCTAAATCGCTTGAGATAATTTAACCAAATTTGGTGTGCATATTTAGTGCGATAGTAGGTATGAAACAAAAAATTACCAGTTTTAGAAACTTGCCAGTGGCGGAGGTGTGGGGTATCACCGATCATTATATGCCAAAAAAAATATATCACCCTATATAATATTGCAAATAAAATAGGTCTTAATATGCGCCATCTTTACTTTTTTGTTTCTTTACACTTTTTATATTCCAAACCGATTAACAACAAAATTGATTTCTTTGATCAAGTGCATTTTTATAGAGTTACTTAAATTACTTAAACATATCTTAGGGAAACCACGCAAAACAATGGTAATAATAAGAAGCCGTCATCTTGTTTAATATTGTGTCTGGCCAAATTAACCTTATTTTTCAAAAAGATTTAAGTTTTAATAATGGCTTATGCATATTCAAATGCTGAAATGGGCAGTATGGTTTACATTTATGGTCTTATAGATGGAAATGGTACTGAGGCTCGGCGAATTTATATGGAAAGATTTCCAAATCATCCAACTCCAAATCCAAGAATGTTCAGAAATGTTTTTCAATGTCTTTTGGAGTCAGACTCATTTCAAAAAGGTCCAGATCCTGGAAGAGCTTTGAATGTTATAACGCCTGAGTTGGAAGAAGCTATTCTACACGAAATTGAAGAATACTCAAATACTAGTATTATGAAGATTGCTGCAAATCTTAATGTGAATCATAAATTAGTTTGGTTGGTTCTGAAGTATCAACAGTATACTCGTATTGCACACAAAGAATTCAAGCCTACAGTTTTGCCACTAGATTTGGCAAAAAATTGAACAAAACGTTGGTATATTGTTTATCTACGAAGCTAATTTTTCCAGAGATACTATAATGAACATCTACAAAAACACGTTTGGTTTGATGAAAACCCTCATGCCATAATGGAATCTGTATTTCAACATCAGTTTTCTTTGAATGTATGGGTGGGTATTATTGTTGAGCCTTACTTTTTACCAAGAACTTTAACCGGTGCTCCCTACAGACATTTTCTTGAAAACGTTTTCCCTGAACTACTTGACTATATGCGTTAAGAGAAATAATGTGGTTTATGCACGACGGGGTTACCCCACATTTTAGTTTGACTGCTCGTGAATTTCTAAATGAAAGATTCGGTAATAATGTGATTAGTTGAGGCACCTAAGAACCAGATCAATCTTGGCCATCCACATCACCCAATATGAATTGATTTTTTTATTTGGGGACATCTTAAGACATTAGTTTACAAGGTTCATATTGAATCTGAGGAGCACTTAAGTCAACAAATTATAGCTGGTTATGATGTGATAAGAGCTACTCCTGGAATTTTTGCACGTGTTCGAGCTGCAATTTCAAGAGGATCTGAAGCATGTATTTTGACTGAAGGTGACATTTCCAAAATTTACTATAATAAATCATAGTAAATGAGTAGTAGTAGTAAATCAATGTAATGAGTATCGCAAAAATGCACTTAATCAAATAAATAAATTTTGTTGTTAATCTGTTTGGAATACACAAAAATTGTAAAGAAACAATGAATATAATGCAATGGCGCATAATGATGACGTAGTTTATTTGTAATATTATACAGGGTGTTTTTTTGCAAATGATGATCGACGACACCCACACCTTCGTCACTGGTAAGTTTATGAAGCTGGTAATTTTTTATTTCATACCTACTGTCATACTAAAAATGCACACCGAATTTGGTTAAATTATCTCAAGCGGTTTAGAAATTAAAAATTAAAAACTAATTTTTTTATTATTTTTGACACACTGTAGCTGGACAATGGCTGTCCTAAGATCGCACATTTATATAACAAAAAATCCTTATTAGGCCACAGAATACGCTCATTATTGACCTCGACTTAAGAAACACCCTGTATATTAAAATTAATTGTTATTAAGAAAATAGAATGATGGATCTTATCGACGAGAATGTTAATATTTAATATAATAAACCATTGTATTGTTACTACAAGAATTACTTATACATTTATTCAAATTCAGATAAAAAAATATCAGTTGGTTGGCCTAAGACACTGGTATAACATTTCTGCCTGATACTTGATTAGAAACAATTTTGCCATATACTTAATTTTACTTAATTGAAAAATCAAGTGCGCCTTGAGAATGAAAAAAAAAATATTTTATACTAGTAATTTCTTCGTATGTGCCAAAACATAGATGCCCAAAGAACATTTTAAACAATGTTTTTTTTTGCTTTTTTGTTGTTATTAAATATTTTGGCAGCAGTGGTATCCCAAACGTAATTTCACACGCTTATATCTCGGAAGTTAGTCCAAGTCTTAAAAACATGTAATTTTGTTTATTAATCTAAAAATACTAATCTCCAAATACTTGACTGCCGGTAACTGATACATTAGAAAATTAATACTCGTTTTTCCTCGAGAAGTATTTTAACAATATGCAACAAATACCTTGTTAAATTAAATAAAGTAATGTTTCAAAAAATAATAATCACTTGCATTTTCGCAAAACCTCTACTGACAAAAAACGTTTAGCAGAAAACAGATTAACACTTAAAATCGAATTTTTGAGGGGGTATCTTTGAACCTTGGCACCATTGCACCCGGATGAGCAATCAAATCAAACCTGTTGTGTAAGAAGGAACAAACATTGTGTTTTTGGGGATACTTTTTCAGATAGTGTTCACAAAATTACAAAAAAAAAAAAAACATTTAAACCACGAAAACGTACTTCCAAGTTGGAAAACACCGCAATAATTTCCTATCTTCAATCTTTATACCAAATTTTGAATACTTTATCGTTAATGTTTGTGCCTTAAATTAATGGCAACTGCGCATAAAATGTCTGTTAAGTTAAAGGATCCATGATGTACGCATCTATTTAGTCACTTGATGAATCAAAATAGCGGCTGAACCGAAAAATGGTGGTATCAGATTTTTACTATGATTTTACTCAAAAAAGGCGGGTTTCCCGGATAATCTCAAGTGACATAAAAGTCTTAGAATCAGTCAAAGAACACGTTGGGCACGTTCCCCAAAATTTGGCCATTTTGCAAATTTTGATCAAATTGATAAAGGGGAAAAAATTCCTGAACTTTTCTTTCAATCCTGAATACTTTTTGTCCACCAGAAGTATATAGCGTTCTCGACAAGACTCCCGGCAATAAAATAAGTCATTGCAACGTTTGTACTGGAGACTGATGTAATCTTCTGTCATAATTTTGAACGTTATTTATTATTTACAATAAATATGATAGAGAAGGGCCTAAAATTGCTAAATAAAAAAAATTGAAATCAGTTTCAAAGCTATAGGTATATTATGAAAATTTGAAATGACGTATATTTCTTTATTAGCACCCATTGAGGTAGACAATGATTGATTAATATTTTATTTGTCAATTGGGAGATAATATTTTATTATACATGGTGGTAAAAATTCTAAATTGCTTAGATTATGTTATTAATATACCATTAAATATACTTTTATTAGGCTTACGTAATCTGACAATAATATTATCGTTTACACAAATGCAAAGTTTGTTCCAGATTTTATCTATTTCTTGAATGTGGTAAAAGGTGTTGGTAAATTATTGGTTAAAATAATTTTTCCGTTATCGAAAAAAATATGTATACAGGGTGAGTAGGGAGAACCGCACCAAACATCAAGAATAGATTCTACACGTCAAAATAATAAGAGAAAATCCAAATGTTATACAATTTTCATTTGTTTTCAAGCTAAATATATTTCAATAAAAAAAAAATTATATTCTATTAAGCATAGCGTTCTTTGATTAAATGTTCAAAAACACCACCATTGACCTCTAAACTCTTTCTACTTCGAAAGGCGTCTGTAGCTCTCCTGATTGCTGTATGTTTTTTTATAAGTGTTGATGACAAGTCAAATTAATGCCTGCTGACTGTTCACTTTAACTTTGTACACTTCATTTTTGAACCAGCCCCATGAACAGTAATCTAGTGCCTGTGAATTCTGGAGATCTTGGAGGCCAACTAATAGGACCACCGCGGTTAATCCAACGCCCCCGAAACCTTTGGTTCAAATCTAGCTGGACTGGACGAGGAAAATGTGTAGGAGCTCCACCGTGCTGGTAGTACATTATCATGTTTATAGGAACGTCCTCTTCGTCGTCCTTCATTTTGAAAAAAAAATAATAAGTGGTCTCCTGTAAACCGATTCTCCAAAATAAAAGGGTAGGTAAATTAAAGAACTATCGATCATACCACACCACACGTTTACCGAAAACTTATGCTGAAAATTACTTTTGAGTGTTTCGTGAGGATTTTCGTCTGACCATAGATGAGAGTTCCAAATATTAGTTATGCAGTCGCGGGTGAATGTTGCTTCATCCATAGAAAGTATACGGTATGCGGTATGCAACAAGATGATTATTATTAATCCATCGACAAAACTCGATACGCTTATTATAATTTTCCGGTTGTAGGTGTTGTACACTCTGTACATGTTACGGATATAAGCCTTGCACGTAGGGAGTTTTTATTACTCTTTTTTTCTGCCCAATTGAGTAGCAACTCTTCGTGAGCTGACAGTTGCATCATCGTCTACTAGCCCAGAATATTTTCTACTTCTTCTAAACCTTGTCGATGAGCTCGTTCAGATGTTATACCTAGTACTGGGAAGCTTTCCGGTTTCACACAGTTTGTTGAAAACTGATAAATACATTTTTATCAGGACATCTGTTATGTGGAAACTGTTGACGATATTCTTCAACAGCAGCATTAACATTCCCATTACAAAAACCATGTAGGCCGATTCTCCACATATTATTTTGAATGTAATATGGTACCTACGTCGAAATTTTTCACCCATTTGATGTGTTGAAGACACTTAGTGTCCCCTAGTCTTTGGCATCATCAAGGCCTTTTGCTTAAATTATTGGCCCCGATATTGGTATGTGCTTGTTTTGAGCCTTACAAAATCAACTAAAGATGACTTGGTCCAAGGCATGTCCATTTTATTAAATTAATTTTTTTGCTCGGCGTTACCACATTGTTGATTTTTAACTTCATTATTCTTATATAAAAAGACGCTTCCCTTTTCCCTGTTATGCTCAAAATGTGTGTGATTATATTTACATTACCTAAGCATTCAAAATAAAACTAAAATTATAACCAGATTCCCTGAGTTAAAAAAAAATTGTGAACCCTACCTTTTCTATATCCTTTTATGAGGTTACTTTAATGTCCTTTAATAGGAAAAGTTGTAACATTGTTGTATGCTGCAAAATCCAGTAAATTGGAACCCGCGGTCTTCTGAGAGAAAGGTCTTTATTTGGAAACCCAAAAACAAGGAGATTTCCGTTTGTAAATTCAGAGAATTCAAAATTGGTCGTTATGTAGTGCTCGCTTGCCACAGGTGGTCACTAACTTATGTTTTACTGCATTACTCTCGGAATATCTTTGTTTCTTCTCCAAGAAATCTTGTGTTGAAATTGATAGTTTAGCGATTTGGTCAATATTCGGAAATCGAGTAGTATCCAGTGAAGATTTAAAACGATAGAAGAATCAATTTACAAGCACCTAACTGGTTCTTCAGGTTTTCGGGATCGCTAACTACGATTTATAGAACTCTAAATGTCGAACCCAATATGGCGGATGGAATAAAATACCTACCTTGAAATTTAGAAATGAAAAAAACGTTGTCGAATATTACACCAAACTTCTAGAAGAATATATTTATATAAATCATTTAATGTAATATTTTTAATAAAAAAATTATTGAAGCTTTCAAATTATGATCACTATAACATTTGTTGAGGTTGTTGAATTCCAAATGTAGCATTACACTTTCAAGAAGTCAGATCCAATATGGCGGTTGAAGTGATTGACACCATAATCCTAGGCATCAAATTTCTACGCGGAATAAATTCAAGTAGGTACCATATAATCTGAACTCATATCCCTGAGGATCGAATTTCCACGTGGCAAAATTCTAAGTAGAGTTTATACCCTTGAGATCGAATTTCTAAGCACAAAGAGCTCTAATACAGTCGACTCCTGAACCCCATATCTCTATGAAGTGAAATTTCCTACTAGAGCAAGCTAATCAGGTGACTTGTCGAAGGGAAAAGATATTAGAAACTATTGAAAATGGATTTTGAAGAAGACGAGTAGTAACTTCAGAAGCTTCCGTGACTCTCAGGATGGAGAGGGATATTCCAATATCCGCCATGAGGGTCACGGAAGCAGAGGACCGGCTTAGGTTAGGAAGGAAGTATGTCACCTCCTTCCCCTCGAGAAAGCAGTGGAAGCAGGAAGGTGATATGTTTCCCCGAGATTCCTAGTATGCTATACTGATGGATCTCGGGTAGGAGACGAATTTTCAGGAGCAGGAATTTATCTAGAAGGAAAGTTATGTATGCCACAGTCTTTCAGGCTGAGGTTTTCGCTTGATGGTGGCAAGCAAGGAGGAGGTAAGGAACTGTGTAGAGGAGAAGATTTTTATCTGCTCTAACAGTCAGACCGCGCTCAGAGCGGTTAGCTCCCAGAGGACAAGGTCTGCCCTTGTTCAGGAATGTGGAGACGCTCTGGAGTCATTGGCCAGACGAAGAGAGGTAGAGTTGGTTTGGGTTCCGGGCCATAAGGGTATTCCTGTTAACGAGAGGGCTGTTCAACTGACTCGTCTTGGATCTAGGGGATCTGGCCTGGGACCTGAACCAATCCTCGGAATCACACGAGGTAGTATTAATGGGGCCCTTAATAAATGGGCCTATCAAACTTTCGGTCAAACTGGAGCAGGATCAGAGGATGTAGGCATGCACTTAGTTTTATATATCTATGGACCTAGCAAACCTAATCCAAATGGTGGGGGTTCTGACAGGTCATTGCAGACTTAGGAGGCATTTTTAAGTTTAATAGGAATTTTGGAGGGCTCTTAATGCCAGAAATGTGGAGTAGGGGCGGACACCCCTGTCCACCTTCTAGGCCACTGTGCAGCCTTTGGGAGGTTAAGAAATAAAGTCTTTGGTGCTGCAAGGGGTTGAGCTGAGGGACCTTCCATGAACCAAAATCCTGGCGTTCATTAGGGCGTCCGGTAGGTTCGAGGAGGGTCAGAGGCAAAGAGTGGACAGGTGATAGGACGGTGGGGCAGGCAAAGAGGACCCACGTGTGGCCTACTTGCCAGGCTAAGGCCGCCCCTTTCACTACTACTACTACTACTACTACTACTACTACTACTACTACTAACTTCAGATGCCATCGCATAATATCGCATTTATTCAAATACCTTTAGAAACTGGAGCTAATGAGTCAACGGTAAAGAATTAATACATCGATCAGGAGTTGAGTTACTGGAAGACATTGTGGTCAAAAATCTTAAAGTACTCAAATTTAAATTTTAAAGATTTTAAACAATATTTCAGAAACTACATTTAATATGCAATACAAATTTTTGAACGCATTTGGGACTATAGAACAAAAATAACATCATGTACTTACATTTCATTGCACGTACCAGTCTCGTGTGGAGGAATATCTCATTCTTCTGTTTTGGAAATATTTTCCACGTGGTTGAATATTTTAAAGATGTGGACTGAATTTTTGAATTGTTCGTTTTTGCATAAAAGTTCCGTCTTACAAATTTCTCCCACTGCTAGATGTTGCAGAACTGATATATTTCCCATTGGAAACTTGAAGGGAAATGAAATTTGTTAAAAATAAATTTTTATTAGTTTTATTAAGTTGCCACAATCATTCAAACCGTGTTTGGAGTTACAACATATGGGTAGGCTACAATGCCTTAAAATAGTTAATAACTTTGATAAAAGTCGCGCAGTAGTATAGAAAAGTAAATATTTTCCTATAAAAAGGTTGCAAAATGATAAAGGTGGAAAAAATATTTTTTTAGAGATAAAACTACGCATATCTTAATACTATCGATTGGAATAATTTCATGGAGGATTTGTTTTCTCTCGTACACAGGGGTGGAAATTCAAGTGATAATTAAACTAAATAAATAATCTTATTGCTAAAATCTGTTAATTTCTAGATAATATGCATTTTTTTAGAAAATATATATTTCCTAATTTTTTTGCTCTATTATAAATCTATTAAAAAAATTCTTTACAAAACATTCTGTCAAACGAATTCAAACTGTGTTATTTGATATCGAAAATCTAAATATGTAAGAGATATCTAACCTTACAGACAAATTTCCTTAATATAGCAGGAAGCAACTACTGTATGGATTACATGCTACATGCCCCAACTACACTTTGCAAAAAAATTAAAGGAGCAGAAAATTTTTAATTTTTTTTAGTGATTTTTGAACAGCTGTAACTTTGTGAATAATGGCCGTATCGAGAAAAAAAGACACATCTTGAAGTTTGAAGATTCGGGTTCTGAGATCATGAGATGGAAATTTTCTTTGAGCATCACTCGGTGCAATCAAAAGAAATAATGCAAGGCAAGAATTTTACAATTTGTTTTTTTTTTAAATTGCACATGCTCAGAATTTTTTTTGGATTAATCAATACCAAGGTCATTTAAGTAATTCATCTGCTTCAATTTTTTTTTTTTCATTTTTTATACGTTTATTTTTCATTGAAATATCGGCTATTGAGTGAAAAGTAACTTTTTTTTCTTATCGATATCTCATGAACTAATGATCGTACAGCGAACAGAATGTGGGTTTTAGAAACCTGAATCAATCCTCTTCAAGGGCTTTTTGGTATCTTTGTGATTTTTTTTATACTCAGCACTGAAAAAGTGCAAAAAATTACTTTCTCTGCTGTTTTGAAAAATCAACAACTGCTTTGCAAATATTGCGAAAAGTACCAATGTTTTTAGTTTTTTTTTAGCTCAATACATGCCCATGAGGCTTGTACATTTTGAAATCGATCGGTCGAATCGTTTTCCTTTCCTGGATCCTCAAAGTTTTATAAAAAATTAAAGGAGCAAGTTTATTACTTCTCCATTAATGATTAAGATGAAATAAATTTTTTTCATTATTTCTCTCACAATTTGCGTTAAATACTCATCAAATATCGAAAATAATAAAAAAATCTAATCAAAATTATGAAAAGAAAAATTGAAAATATTGCTCAGAAAAATTTTTCATCTCAAGATTTCAAAACTAGAATCTTCAAGCTTCAAGATGCTTCTCGATACGGCATTATTGTCGCGTTACAGCCTTTCAAAATTCACTAAAAAAAATGTGGAAATTTTTCTGCTCCCTTAATTTTTTTGCTGAGTTTAGAATTAAATTACTGCAGGAATATCTGGTCAATATCTGGTAACAAGCTGGTAGTTCATTTTCTGTACTTCATTTTTAATGAAACACAAGTATATTTGGTTTTCAACAGTAACTGGGAACCGCACTGGACTGTTTCTGGTTTTAAGCTGAACTTAAAGCTCTAAATAACAGGAACTTCTTTGATTAAAAATATCAATATATTTCTTTAGATTTTATTTGGTAATAGCTGCGCTACAGTTTCATTGGTCGATTATTAAGGGAAGTGGTATGAACTCTGGCTGAACAGGAAGAGGTACGATAGGAATAAATTCTGGAAGTGGTCGACTTCCAACTTCAGGCATTGGATGTGGTTGAATTTCTGGGACTGTTGCAAGTTGGTCGATAAGAGCAGTCATGTAACTGAAGCAAGCATCACATGGGTTTCTTAAAGGCGCTGGTGCAAGTTCTGGTAGAGCAACTTCTGGCACTGGAACGGGTAGAGGAAGAGGTCTAAATACTGGAACTTCGATAAGTTCTGGAAGTATTTGTACGTTGTCGTGAATGGCTTGAGGGTAGTTAGAGATACTAGGCAAATCTCCGGTCTGCACAACTGCGGAATGTAGACCTGTAATATAAATGAAAACATAAGTTTAATCTCAACATTTTAAGTAAAATAGTGACACTATTTAGAAGTTAAAGAGGCGCTACAACAATGATGTTCAAACTCAGAAAAGTTGCATGGAAATATAATGATGAAAGAAAATGACTAGAAACTGTTGAGAAAAAAGTCAATTCTTTTCAGGAACTTGAATTTTTGTTGAATACAAATATTGAATGAAAAATTAATAATAAATACCAGTAATAGGTAATAATAATGACATAAATATTTCTTACATTTATTTAAGCACAAATTGAAAATGATGCATATTTTTTATTTATGTGTCCCTGTTTCAGTGGACCTTTGATAGATCATTTTGGCGCAAAGTTTAATTCTGATTCATTTTAAAATAAGTATAATATATTTTTATAATAGTATATTTTTTACCTGGAGCTAGCACTAGAGCTACAACAATTATTACTGATGCGGATGCCATTTTCGAAGCCTGTGTTGTTACCAAAACTTGATGACATTAACTGACGAATTTTTGCTTTATATATACACTTATTACAAAGGACGGTATATAAAAAATTAAATAGATTCGTCTGGTGCGATGAATGGAAGATAACAAAATCAAATAATCCTTTTTCAAATAGGAAATGTGTCATATAACTTTAATCCGTGGTAGCTTAAAGTTCTAAGTACATTATTCTAATAAATTGTATTAATTTTTCCATGTATTCAAGCTTCTAATTACCTATAAGAAGACAAATACCTTGTTCTTTTCCTTTACCACAGAATAATTCTTTTTATTTTAAAGATATAGATATCTCTATAAATCAAATTTACTACATTTCGATAAAGTTTCAGTTACTCAGTTAATTTAATCAATTAACAAACGATATTACACCATTTGCTGCAAGAATTGCAGAATTCTCTATTTTTATTTATTATTTATTTTAACACATTATTAGGAGATAAAAGTGGAATACGTTTAGATATACGCATAAAAATGTTATATATATTAAAAATTTTCTCATTGTCAGTGAATATGTTATTTAAGTTTTTAGTAATTAAATTCTAGTTGTACTCTACATAATATATTAAAATTAAATAAAATAGAGATCTAACTAATGTGACTAAATGAAATTCTTGTGAGTGAAAATGATTTTCTTTAATTTTCTGTACGTTATTATCTAGGACATGCTATAGAACCTTTTATATAAAAATAATATAAAAGCTTTTTCCCGATCTGTAATATATATTTTTCTTTTTTAATTTATATTTTGGTATTTTTCAACCTGTGAAAAAATTTTGAAATTAGTGAAATTATATATATTATATTATTATTATAGATACCTAAAAAATAAAATAATAAATAAAACTATTCTACAAATAAATAACTTCAGACAAATCTGTAATCTTAAAATATATTTTTTGCGCCCTTCATCCCCACACAAAAATTCTATGTTCCTAAAAATATGAGAATTTAAAAAAGTATTCCGTCAAAAAAGATGTGATTTTTATGTCCATTAATGCAGAGATATTCGCGCAGTCTACATGTAAAAATTTCATTACGTACGAGTTATAAAAAAATATCATTAATGTAATGTGAATACTCATCTTTCACCATAGAATGCGAAACGAATATTACTATATTGTTGACATGTACCATATAACGCATTCAACTATCTACCAAAATTCTCCCTCAACTTCAAGCACGGCAACTGTCCAGAACTTTTATTATCACGACGGATGAAAGTGTTAGTAACCAATATTACTGTATAAAATTATAGTGTTGGATTTTCAAATGTAATTGAAAAATCATGCTAATGTGAAGACTTTCAGTTCATTATAGATGAGCGAGGCAAAAATTGTTTTGTAAGGCAAGCCAACTAATAGATATTAGAATTAAGTAGTTTTCAAATAACATTGACTCTGATGCAACAAGATCAAATGGAGTCCTAATAAAGCGACCAAAAAAAACCTGGAGTTCTCAGTGTGAGGTGGGATCGAAATTGTGATTTTGTATTTTAAATGTCAAATTCATTTGAGAAATATACAGGATGTGCTATTTAAAACACATTCTTCCGTAGCCCTGATAATAATAATACAAAAGAATGTTTCAAATAAAACTTGCACCAAATCAATATTCTCAATTTCTAAAATTACCTATTTGCTTGAACGAATCGCATATGGTTATCACATTTAGGTTTGAAGATGATTTGATGCATCAAATAACACCGAAACGTTACGCTTTAGCTCCAGTTTATCAAACGGAGCCTTAAATTCAACAAGAATTTGATTTGACGCAACTTTTATTTGAAATATTTTTTTGTATTATTTATATTACCAGAGCTATGGAAGAATACGTCTTAAATGAAACACCTTTTATGTGCCTGGAAACAAAACTTGTGAAAAATTGTATTTAATATAAAATAAATGATATATGTACCTCCAATAAATTCAAATTTAACTTCTGCCAATCCCGGTAAAATGAAATATTTTTTGTTCTACTTTTTCTTATATTAATTTATTGTTTTTAGAACATTTACGTTTATAAAAATATTGTTAAGCATAGCACAAAATTTAAATTATCGAATTTGTGTGATTTACTTATTTCGTTTGTTTCTTTGTTTTAATTATGTATCCAATAAAAGGTGTAGCTAACACCGACATGAGTTCAGAATTGGCTACTTTTGTCAAAATAAACAGAAATGTCTTTTTCGTAAAAAGATTATTAAGAATTCTTAAATAGCCTTTCCATGACACGATTGAATAGTATTTCTCAAATAAATTAATTTGCCAGTTAGCAAGTTGAGGTTTGGGATTCACCATAGTTGTGGTCGAGTCACAGCAGAATATGAGCTTAATTTGTGAGAGAAATACTCATCGAATCTCGCGTCATGAGATGGCACCTTTATCGCCAGCACTTGAAACAGTTTTTGATCAATTAATTAAAAACTGTTGAAAATACGGGCTTCAACATAGGTACGGTGGTGCAAATCTAACATCAACAGTCATTTTAATTATACAAAACTGACCTTTGGAAATTAGGAGAGACCTAAGAGATGTTTTCTGTTCAAGGATAATTGTTTGCTTTGCAAAGACTCTCAATACATCTTTGATGACGAAGAAAGAATTTCAAAATTTCGTGACTTCGAGGTTTTTTTAGGACGTGTATTGATTTTTTAATCCTAGAATACTAATAGGTCGTAAAATTGGCGACGGCCAACAAATTACGCTCGAATTTGTTTTCTCCCAGAATGGTCTCACAATCAGTCGTGCCGTTCTTAGTAGTTTTTTAATTTTATAGTCGAAGTTAGAATTAACAGTTATTCCAGACTACACCATGTAATTTATTTTGGCCATAAATCGTAAAATTTACGACCGTTTAGTGTTAGATTCATATATTTCAGACAGGTTGTAGATTTTCTTGTTGTGATATATGTATCTCTTTTATAAAAAAAAAAAACAGAAAAATGTTGAACAAACCGTTGACAGACAAAGACACCTGTATGAAGAAAAATAAAAAATTATGAATGGAGATTAGAGAGATGATGATGAAGAACCATACCAAAATAGTGGAAGTGATTGGGAAGAGGACAATTTAGAAGTGCAAGGGTCACAAGTGGTCTGCGAAACTACCAACTACCTCAAAAAGAACGGCTTCTCGAAATATCGTACATTTTGTCGCAGGGAGCAAGGGAAATGCCCGTGACATTGTAGAACTAAAACATCATTTCACACATATTTTTGGATGCTATTCTGAATATAATCCTCAAATACACAAACGAGGAATTAGTCAGGCAATGTAATAACTATGCTAAAGAATCAGCTACGAATAACTAGCATTTTTGCAGTTTTGATATTTTCAACTGTCAAGAAAGACAACCATCTAAATTGTAAAGAAATGTTTAATCTTACCATCTCTTGCGTCTTTTATCGAGCTTATATGAATTGCGAACGATTTGCGTTTTTGCTAAATTCGATCATGTTTGAGGATAAGAGGACCAAGAAAGTAAGGGAACAAACTGACCCTTTTGCCCCATTTACAGAAATTACGGAACTGGCAGAAATTACACACCATCAGCTTACCTTACAATAGATTAACAGCTTTTAGAGGAAGGTGCCCATTTTGGATGTACATCCCGAACCAAGCCATCACAATACGACATAAAAATTGTCGTGCTATGTGACTCCTCGTTTAAAAATATATGTACGTCCATACTTGAGGGAGAAAACCAACACATTAGATCTGATATTAATAAATTATTATATCAAGGACTTGACAAAGTTGTTTCATGGTAATAACCGAAATATTACCATGGATAACTGATTTACGTCATGTCCTCTGTCCGAAAAAAAGTTATGTGAACCATATAAACTATTTTGGGCATATTGAGAAAAAAACAAGAAGGAAATTCCGTCAGAGTTACTACAAACTAAAAATAGAAAGCGCGAAATTTCGATTTTGATAAGAATGGATGGTGTTTTATATGCCCAAACCTAACAAAGTTGTAGGTAGTATTACTTTCTACTCCCCACGACATAGTTATCATTTACAATGAAACCAAGTCGGGTGTAGTAGACACATTCGAATAACTGTGTTCCAACATGAGATATCTGTGGAATTCTAAATATACAACAAACCGAGGAAAGCCATCAACCCTTTCAATGAAAACGAACAATTTGTTTTTATTGTCCTAATCGTCTTCGATCAATGACAACATTGATAAGTTATAGAAATTGTTCAAAACGGTTTTCTCTCAGGCATAAATTTATTGTTCGTCGAAAATTGAGGTCTACTCTATCCAATAACTGCTGATTATTTCTAATGAATGTGCATTTATTTATCTGTAACGCGATTCCACAATTCCGCTCGAGACGCAACTGGCGAGGAATACACAAATTCTTTTAACATTCTCCAAAGAAAGAACTTACATTTGTTGAGGTCTGGTGATCGTGAAGGTCAAATTTGTAGGCAATTATTTCCTCTTTCAATGCATTTATTTGGATACTGGTGGTGTAAAAAGTCTCTAACAATGTTACTAAACGGAGGGGGTGCTCCATCATGCATAAATCAATGTTCCAGTCTGAGTCGTAGTGGCACCTCGTAAAGTTGATCCGGGAGAGTGTTTTGGAGAAATTCTAAATAAGTTTCGCCATTTAGTCGATTCGATAAATTAACTGGACCAATTAAATACCGATCAATAACACCGATCCAAACATTTATTTTAAACTCGCGTTGGAAATATCGATGTCACTGAATGAGGGTTTACATCGAAGTTTAACTTATCAGTGCAAATTGTATGTTACTTCTGTTGTTTAAGTTGTTTGTTTTTTTTTTAATAAATTATCTTATTCCAAATTTTTTTCCTTATCAAGTTTGACGCCAACTTTTGAATTTTTTATGATTTTAAATAACACAGCTACAATACATATTATTAATTATTCGTGTTTTTGTTGAAAACGACGAAAGTTTTTTTGGAAATGGTGCATCATCCCTTATCAACTCTTTAAAATGCTTCACTTGAACTCTACTTATTGTCTTGGT